ATGCCTTTTTGTTGTCAGTATCACACTGGAAAAATCACCAAGATGACAGCATAACTGGCAGCCTATGCAGGTGCCAAGAAACAGCAGCATAGAAAGGAAGAAGACAAACCTATATGAACACAACTTTTCCTTTACACAGCAAGTAAATCGCACATGTTATTTTCCGAGCAAAAAGTGCCTTCACTGGTAACAGTGACAGCAAGTGGGAGGAGTGTTCTCATATTGACCTATGCTGTTGCCTCCACACTGTGGCCCTACTGAAGCATGCTTTGAATTGTGAAGGAAGGCTGTCACATAAGCTTCTTCCTCACTACCCACCGCCATGGTGCATCTCAAAATGCAAGTGGAGGGGCATTGTTCAGAGGCCTTGCATATACCGAGCAGGCATTTAAAACATCCTTTCCCATACATGCTTTTAACAGTATCCACAACATGCCACAGAAATTCATGAAAGTGGCTGAACATAGTAAAGTCAAAGTCCAACAAACGAAGCTTCAAACCACCAAGAGCTCTTGAATAGTGAAAGGGAGTGTTAAGCAATACACAAAGAGATTAAATGAATAACATCAGTCAAGGGGACTCTGATTGTGTTGCCACTGACATGGTGGGTATTCATATAGTTCACCTCACCTGTTCAGGGTTGGGGTCAGAGAACAATTTGAACTACTATCTAGCCTGTAACTTCTGTTGCACAGCATTTTTTTTTTGTCATATTTGTGTTTACCCATGTGTTTACACTGAGCCTTCTCTCCATATACAAATTAGATTTTTAGCTTCTTAAGGATTCCTCCTATGCACATAAAAATCTTTTCGTAAATCAGCAGTGATCGCTCAAAGGATTATTTTAGGATAATAAGAATGGCTTTGTCTTTTAATTAGCTTTACTCATTAAGCAAATAACTACCAACTACTAACTTCAAGGAACAGATCTAGGTACTATACAAGTAGTATTTTTTTTTTAAAGAATTTAGGATTTCTATGCTCAGTAAGCTTACCAAATCTGTAAGCCAGATTTTGCTTGTTTTTTTTTCCCCCAAGTAAAAACTCAGAATTAAAGACATGTAGGAAGAGTCCTGTCTTTCTACAATCTTCATTCTGAAGATTCCATTGGCATGAGTCATTTTCACAGTTCCTTGGTTCTCAAAGTCACAGGACTGGTGGACAGAATGAAAGAATGCACCCCTGTGGGACTGTGGGGATTTAAAAAGGACATCTGTGTCTGATACCACAGAGCAGAGCAGATATCTACAGAAGATGCCTTCAAAAGTCTGTCTTACTTCTGACACCCACCACTTCCATGCCAAAACGCTCCTAGGTTCTAACCTCTTGACCACATGTACTCATCATGAATAAGAAAAGCTTTAGGGGCGCGGTGGCGCAAGTGGTTAAGGTCCTCGCTTTGCACACCCGGGATCCCATATGGGTGCCGGTTCTAATCCCGGCGGCCCCACTTCCCATCTGGCTCCCTGCTTGTGGCCTGGGAAAGCAGTTGAGGACAGCCCAAAGCTTTGGGACCCTGCACCTGCGTGGGAGACCCGGAAGAGGCTCCTGGCTTTGGATCGGAATAGCACTGGCCGTTGCGCTCACTTGGGGAGTGAATCATTGGACAGAAGATCTTCCTCTCTGTCTCTGCTCTCTGTATATCTGCCTTTCCAATAAAAATAAAATAAATCTTAAAAAAAACAAAAAAGAAAAGAAAAGCTTGACCTGGAGAGCAGTACTGATTGCCTTTGAATCTTTATATTAAACTAGACAGTATCTTATTTTGTATTCATAGTGTCATTTCAACACTCACGGCATAGGATCTTTCAGTATTTCCACTTTCTCGAAAAGCAAACTTAGATCAGAACAAAATTTTACCCAGTCATTCAGCTATTACTTAATTTTAACTGAAGTACTATGGACACCAAAGGGAGAATTTCTAACCATTATTTTATACCAATTTTGAATTGCATAGATTCTGCTATTTTATATTAAGTAACTCCTTCAGAATTCCTATATAATGCTCTAATTGGGCAAAGGTTTGTTTTCTTTTAGAACTGAATCTTAAGGGACTACCAATAAAGATAGCTAAAAATCTGTAGAAAAAGGCACACTGGTCAGACAAGACAGAAACAGGCGCATCCACTTTAGGTAAAGTTACATGGCCTAGTTTAAGGTTTTGGTGGAAACAGCATCTTATCATTTGTCTAGTCATTCTCTACGGTTTACCACGGTTTCCATTCCCTTTCACAAGGGCTAAGATAAAGAGTATTCTTTCCCTTCACATATATGTATGTGTAAGGAGGAGTAATGAACACCCACTTTAGTTGCTGAGTAGTTTGTTCATCCAGCAACATTCTGAAACCACACAGCGATTTGGCAGCACACATAGGAGAATTCCCTCTTTGAAAACAAATGAACAAAAGCTTTCAGGAATAATTAACTCATCTTCTTAACCTGAGGTAAAGAAAAAGAATTCTCTCTTGATCAAAGCAAGAGCAGAAAATTGTCTAATGCGTGTAAACACCCTGCCCTAAAGTCTTCATTTATGCCCTTCATGGATATTACATCTTCAAGAAGCAGCTAGGGTAATATTTCCTTTCAATATCTTTATCTCTAAGATTGACCAAAGACAGGGGAAAACTAGAATAGGCTGATGTTTCTTCCATTAGGAGTATCTAAAAAAAGCAGCCTAGATTTCTTAGGAAATGCTGGTGTATATTAATTTCTCACCTAGATGCCAGTACTTTCTTTCAATTTGCATGATCTCCCCAAAATGGCACCCAAAGGGGTTAGAACAAAACTTGGCTAACATTTTCTATGACTGACCAAAAAGTCCAGGCTCAATTCTGGTTGCCTTTTTGGAGTGGAAACACACAATCTCAGCATCGCAGGCAGCTCCAGAAAGGCATGCCAGGTCTCTCGTGCTCTCAATTTATATTTGCATGGGAACAGCTTGTCGACCATTTTATGAAGCTAGATGAATCACAGGCCTCCTACAAGGAAGGTCAGACAGAAAGATGTGAACTACACACTCTCGCAGCCTACAGTTCTTTAAAATGAAGACAAAATGAATATCTGTGGACATCCTCTTAAGGGAGATTATAAACAAATATATTACAGAATATATTACAGAAATGAAACATTTAAGATATCATCTATAAGTCAAGTGGAAAATAAAGAATGAAACCAGTCTATAAATATCACTCTTTAAAATGTCAACAAAAAATAAGATATGGCTGTATATAAGACACTAAAAACAAACCTTCAGATGTCTCTCTGTTTATTGCTGGTTTTGCAAGATTCTCATAAAAAGATTTATTTATTTGAAAGGCAGAGTGACAAAGAAAGAGAGAGAGAAAGAGAGAAGATTTTGCATCTGCTGGCTCACACCCCAGAAGCTCACAGTAACTGGGGAAAGACCAAGTGCAACCCAGGAGCTGGGACTCCATCCAGGTCTCCCCAGGAATTCAAGCACTTGGGCCATCACTTGTTTTCTCCAAGGTGCATTAGCAGAAAGCCGGATCCAAAGCACTAGGTTGCCAGGACTCTACAGCAGGTACTCTAATATGGGAAGAGGGCATCCTGATTGACGACTTAACTCCGTACCGCAATACTTACACCTCAGAAGACAAGTCTGATAAAGAAAATGCCACCAACATATCCAGATGGGAAGAGGAACAGTTGAATGTCCTGTACTTAACGCTAGAGCCCAGGACTGTGATAAAGAATTTTATAGACTTAGCAACTGAAACAAATTCTGAAACTTCAGCGATAGCCTGTCAAATGGAAAAGCTCCATCCCCACCCCGCAGCACTGACACTATCCAGTTTACCCATAGTTTTCTAAAAGATTAGATGAAAATCAAAATAGAAAAATGGACAGAACAACCAAAGGAATGAAGTTATTCAGAGGATGTGACAAAGTGTGGCAGGATTATGTCGACAAGAAAAAATAAATAAAAGCCATAATAAATCATGACTAAGATGTTTTTAACAGAAAGTCTATGAAAGACACTATGGTAATTTTTCTAAGGGTAAGCAATATTGTTTTCCTATTTAAAAAGAATAGATCTACAACCTGAGAGGTTAAATGATCCATTCAATGTTACAGATGTAGAGACAGGATTTAAAAATAGGTCTTATGCCACAACCTGAGATTTTAACCATCATGCAGTGGTCCCCTCACAGGTTCTCATGGTAAAGCCTTCACATTAAAGCGTTAGTTCTCTCCTCATGACACATTCTAGAATTCTATATAAGATGATGTCTGTGAAAGTACCTAACGTAAGATGCTGTTAGCTCATATCTGTTTTTATTGAAACTGATGGTGCTACGGAATCTAAAATTCCAACCTATAATAATTTTGTAATACTTGAAGTAATTCCACAAATTTAGTATTTTACCAGATACTACATTAATACATAAAGCATGTACTTGGTTTTAATAAAGTTTTAGCAAAAAGAAAGCTTGCATATTTATGCAACTGAAAATATGCTTTCCTATGCCCTCACTGTTCTACTGCAGGCAATCTGAATGGAAAGAGCCTTCCCAGGCAAACAGTTTTCTCACAGCAATGAACAAAAGGTTGAGCTCATAAAATGTGTCAAAAATACTTGTGAGTGAATGATCTCAAATCATCAGTGAAGAGTATTTGCTGCTTTAAAAGGAACTGAAAAGAAATGAAAAGGCGTGGTTCCTCACTCATGCAGTAAAACAATCTGACCTGATAAATCAACACAGCATCTCAAGTTGAATTAGGTAATGAACTTTCTTGGGAATTAAAGATCTCACGACCACACTGATAACATTGGGAAAGGGGGATGAGGGTGATTAGGGTGATGCAGGGACTAAGAAATCTGTCCTCACAAAGGAAATCTTTAGTTGTCTCCTTGAGTCCTCAAAGTTGCAGCTGCAATGGGTTGCCGATATGGCATACCCCAAAGTCCTTGTGCCTGGTTGGGTGCTAGCTGCTGGGCACTCTGAATGCAGTAGCATAGAGTCCCATGCTAAACTTACCATTTTCTGGTTGGTCCTTTATGTCAGCATCACTTGGCTGGCTGGGACTTTCAGATTGACTTGAATCTGAAAAACATAAAAATACAGCCAAAAATTACAGGGTCTGTAAGGGAAAGTGGATCAGAGGTGCCAGACTTTCTCAAAAGGCTCAACCTATATATTAAGGATGAGAATGCCACAGGGAAAAAACATGATGAATGAGAAAAGGAAAGGTAGAAAGAGAAAAGCAAGCGGCATGGGGGAGCAGCTGCCACGGTGTCACTGTTGACATGTTCAGGGGCGTCTGCTTCGTGCCAGCGGAGAACGTGACGCCCCTGAGAACTCAGCCCTTCTCCTAGGGAGACCCTTTCCAAACTGCTCTTCTCCATTATTTATACACTAGAGTCTGATAAAGACTTTATCCTTCATTACACACATCTGAAGCTTGATTCAGAACATAATAAAATGTCAAAACATATTTTGAAGCTGGTATGTAAAAGAAACCCCAACAACAGTAACAAGTTCTGTTGCTGTTTAGCTCTGTATTACAGCAACAGACTACACAGACTAACACCACTAAATACTAGACTTCTAATATCCTAGCACATGGACTTGAAATAAACAAGTGACTCAAACAAGACTTTCTGAAAGCACACATTTCCTCTACTTAGAAGAACTGTTCTCTTCCTAATGCGTTTCAGATATTCTCACGAGGCTTGTTAACAAAAAATAGGTTCTTGCACACCTTTATAGAATTAAATTGCCTCTTGGAATAAACAAACACAATCAGATTTTTAAACAAGAAATAATTCAATTAATCTTCAAATGGGATCATTTGAAATAATGTCAAAATTAGGTGAAATTAAGTTAGATCAAAAGAATTTCACAGAATTAGAAGCAAGCATGCAGATTTTACTTTTGTCAGAGTGGAGAGAAAAATCCAGGTTAAATGTTTTAAGAGTGCAGTTTTTTAACATAGTTCCTGAGATCTGAAACCGTTTCTAACACTATTTTAAAACCACTTTTGTATCTGTGCGAAGGCATGATACTGACTTCACATCAACTACACAAAGTTAGAGTTAGCTATGAAATCTGATCACATTTCAGCAAGGTCAACCCAAGATCAAAAGGCCATGACGCTTAACTGTGATTAAATTGAAATATTATTTCTGTTGCAACAAGTGATGTCTTATCATTCTCTCTCTTGGAGATACTGTAGGAAGCAGCATAACTACTGACCTTAAATTGAGAAATACTAATTTATTACATAAAAAGACTCGCTGCTTTTAAGTAAATGAAGACTTTAATTATAAGGAAGTACTATGCAGAAAATACCTATTCAAAAATTTTCAGATCCTAGCTGGTGACTATAAAAAAGTCCCATGTTAATGTATAGATTCAAATAACAAGAGATTTAGAACAGTTAATTTTTATTCAGTCTGGCAGTGTGTTAGGTTTTTTTTGTGTGTGTGTTACAACAACTGTCACAGTTAAGAAACAGAATTTTATATATAAATTATATCATAATTATATAAATTTTTGCTATTTTATTATATCTTACAACAAAACATTTTATATTTATTATATATTATAATAAATACTATATTAAGTATGATATAAACAATATATTTATAATGATCATATATGATATATCAATATATTTATATGTAACTATGATCTATTTAAATTATATTTATAAATATGTATATATGTGAGTGTGTGTGTATATGTGTGTGTGTAGATCCTTAGAGGAATCCTTCAGAATAGCCCAACAAATTACATACAATGCCTTAATTAAAAAATGGATGAAAATCAAATGTATATTGTATTATATTCAAAATGTTAACTATTTAAATCAATATTACATTTATAGCAAATTGTAAAATATAGCATCGCCACCTCTTTCTCTCAGGGAAGATCTTGTAATTTTACCACTAGAAATTATAAAATCTTATTATTTTGAGGAACAATTCTATATGTTTTAGAATACCTACACATTACTTTTGCTTTTCTGGAGACTCTGAAACCATTAATACATGTAACAAAAATTAAAGCAATAAACCCAATTTTGCTTTAAGGGAAGTTAAAATTCTTTGTGATCATTTCCCTATGAGGTATGATAGCTCAGTCAGTGTTCAACCTCTGGATGTGGTATCTTTATAATTTAATCTCCACAAACAAATACAATGCCTTTTATCTCAATTATTTTAGATATTCAATAGCCAATCCTTTTTCTGATATTTATTCATGAATATTAAGGTAAAAAGGGGTAAGGAGAGACTCAAAAAATATTTTTTTAAATAATTCGAAAGTAGACTTTTTGTCCCTTTCACTTTTTGTTAACCGTTGGTTTGCTAACCCACCTTTACAGGAATATAGCTTAATTACAGAAAACATCAACAATGAAAACATCAGCAAGAAAGAGAACTATCAAACAAGTTCAAGGATGGTGTAACACTCCAGGTCACACCCAAAAAACGAACAGCCCAGGATGAGTGACAAGAAAATGCCTAGCGGGAGTCCACAAAAGGCCACAGCACTCTGGCAAAAGCTTAGCTAGGAACACGGGGGAGGCAGCTGCCAAAGTGAAAATGGTATTTAATTTCTCTTGTTTCATTGAAAATACTGGAGATGCTGCTATCCATACAAGGACTACCTATGAAAACACACTGTCCTGGAAAGTGATATACCATACTAAAGGTCCACAGCAAGTTTTAAATGATCCAAAGACTTCAAACTTTGCTTTCTACCCTTGGGTGTTGACTTTCATTTCGTTTTGAGCCAAGACGGAGCAAAGCCAGTGCTAGTATTTCTCAATGCTGAGGGTGCACTGGCATTTTTTTTCTGACTTTACAAAAGGTCGCTGATACTGTTAAATATGGAACCAATCAGATGACTAGAATTACAAATTAATTTTACCCATACATAATTGATATAAATGAAAGATCTTTCTGAAGTAATTGAATTCAAATATTATCAAGAAGCTCAACAATAATTTACTTTTTGGTTTGAACTACTTGATAGAGACTTATCAAGAAGCCAAGATAAGTTTATTTAGGCCTTATTTTTTGGATGGTTGTTTCCTTCCACAGATGCACTTCTAAAGAAACAAAAATGCACAGACTTGGATCCCTTCCTTGCATACGAGCCCTTCTCCTTCCCACCCCTACCTCACCCCTGCAGTAAGTTTCTCTGGTTCTCAGGCTGAAAGCCAAATGTGTGTACTATAATAAAGGCAGCATTCGTTAAAGTGTGTTTAAATGACAGGACTAGAAATATCGTGAGGAAGTACACAGAGGTTATGAATTCTCTTTCCCATCTAGGGATTTGCTTTTTGTCAAAATAATCTTAACTTTAGCCTAAGCTTGAAAAGCAATAGTTTCTTTCTGTTTTTAAAAAATTTATGAGCAGACATCGCAAGCTATGATAGAAGGGTTCACATGCAGGAGAATGGATTAAGGCCTCTTAACTGAACTGGTAGCCATCCATCTACGCATTTTAAAAAAAAGATTTATTTGTTTTTCATTAGAAAGTCAGATATAGAGAGAGGAGGAGAGACAGAGAGGAAGATCTTCTCTCTGATGATTCACTCCCCAAGTGAGCCGCAGCAGCTGGTGCTGCGCCGATTTGAAGCCAGGATCCAGGAACTTCCTCTGGGTCTACCACATGGGTGCAGGGTCCCAAGCCCTTAGGCTGTCCTCAACTGCTTTCCCAGGCCTCAAGCAGGGAGCTGGATAGGAAATGGAGCTGACGGGATTAGAACTGGCACCCACATGGGATCCCGGTGTGTTCAAGGCGAGGACTTTAGCTGCTAGGCCACGCCGCCGGGCCTCATCTATGCATTTTTATGGTGCCTACAGCTACCACTTCAGTATTCAAAGATAGTTCACTATCAATAGCATCACTAAGGAAAGAAATCAAATAAATCCTAATGCCTGAATATCAGTCTCTATTTTCATAAACAGGTGCAGTGCAAGAACAGATAGAATGCACCAGATGTGCCATTTACACCAATGTCAATTCTGTTCCCCTTCAAGAAAGGATATCAATGAGCACTTCTTTAGGAAAGGTGAAGAACAAACCACAACATGCCAATACGATAAAACTCTCGAGGCAAAAAGTAGATATCACTTCCAGGCATTATATGGTCTTTGGGCAAGAAGCAAAAATGGAACATTGCTAAATCTCCCATCTTCCACATCAAATTAGGCACTTTCCCACTACAGTCCTTCTTTCATTGCACATATACCTCCCATAGTCTGATTAAGTTATTAAGGTGATTTTTGATCATCCATGACCTACAGGAATCTGAGCTCCTAAAAAACAAGAGTTCCCGCCTGCTCTTCTATTAGTCCTTGGTACCAACCAGCCAAAGAGTTGAAGAGGCACTGACCCAGAGATGAATTTTCAGTTGCTGCCTTCCTATGAGTAAACTACTGCCAAGAACTGAAAATTACACAAAGCTCACACATGAGATGGGAAGTGGAGCTTATCAAATGAAAAAGGAGGGCAGAAAGGCTTATCTCTGTTCAAATGTTCTTTGGGACAGCCAAGGGTAAGTGAGGCCTTCGCCTCTGGTCTACAGCTGACCTGGAAACACAGCACAATGTTGAGAAGCTGCACAGAATCAATGATAACGTCCACTGGTTCAGAGAGCACAGAGGGTAGTGGACACAGGGAGGCCCTCCGGAATGCCGGGCATGCTAAAGTGAAGAATCACAGAGGATTACTTCACAGGTTCTAGCACTACTGAGATTAGAAAACTCTACCTTATTTTGATGTCTACAGGCATGTTTCAAAATCCTGACAGTGGCTACCGGGAGGGACTTGCTAAGAGCGGAGATGCCATGATTAAATGACCCCAACTACAACCCAGTGTTATTCCTATTCAATTGACCTGCTCTCAGCAACAGACTATGGATCACAGACGCACAAATTCCACTTCCTCTACAAAAAACAATTTAGGGTTAAGTTTCAACTGTCCTAGAACTTCACGATTTGGCAAAAGACAAAGTCTGAGAAGTCTTTGTTTGAACTGTGTGTCTAGTTTTAAATGACCCAGTGGCACAATGAAAAGGTGATATGAA